TTCGCGTCGTCTGCGAACCCAAACCGCGACAGCAAATTATTTAATTTTCACTTGGAACTCAACGCTACTTTCAGTTATACGTTATGTCGAGGTTGAGGTGTGGCGCCGTATGAGACGGCGATGCAGAGATGCAGCCATTTTCGAAATTCTAATTAAAGACAGAAATTCATTTTTTAATCGACGTCTTCCTTGGGGTCGCCGTCCTGACTTCTTAAGGTCCCTATTGACAAAGTGGCAACTAGTTCACTGAATCTTCTCTTGTTTGCGACTGTGCAAACAAGAGAAGCCAAGGACGCTTCCTTGGCACAAGCCGAGAAACCGCGTACAGACCTAGCCTCATGCCTCAATCAGACATGGTAGTCACGGGGTATTTGCATGTGCATTGCCCCCAGACTGTCCTCCTTACAATTTTTAAGTTACTGATAAGCGGAATTTATTTACCAATCAAGAGCCTTTTTAGTTGGTGATCATTTATCCCTTATCCTTTATAAGGCCTTAAGTCTCTTAGGGCCTGTTTACATGAGTGAGGGTGCCCCTACATAGTAGGGTTACCCTAGCAAGTAGGGTGACCCTTCTCTATTGTAATTGATACTTGGCCTACTAAAGATACTTGGCCTACTAAAGCGCACATTTGGGAAAAGCTCTGAAGCAATATCAATTGGATACAAGTCTATGGTTCGGCCAATTGTTGAGTATGCCTGTCCTGTGTGGAATCCACATCAACAATATCTTTCTGATAAGCTTGAAAGAGTGCAAAGGAATGCTTCCAGGTGGATCCTTGGTAGTTCTATCGACTATAGTGAACGTTTGAAGTATCTTGGCTGGCCAACACTCAACTCGCGTCGTGAATTTCTTAGTTTAGTGCAATTATTCAAATTCATTAATGGTTTTTCAAGAGTAGACTTATGTAATTACTTAACTTTCTCCAATAGTCGGACGAGATCTACCAACAATGTCAAAATCTGGACGCCTTATGCTCGAACAAATATCCTCAAGAACTCTTTTTGGTATAAATATATAAAAATCTGGAATGACTTGCCAAGTGACATAGTTAGCTCTAGCTCTGCTAGTAAGTTTAAAAAAAAACTGAAAGAACACATTTTTAAATAATATCAATAATATTGCACCAATATCCA